AAAATTGATGCGCTGAATTTCCGACTCAAATGACAGCCACTGACAAACACGGACGAATGAAAAAAGCTTTTCTCAAGAATCACCAAACAAAACAAAAAAAACAAAAAAGATGAGACTTCTTTCTCTGTTTCCGTTTTCATTTTCGAATTTCACTCACCTTCGAAGGCCTCGTTCTGGTGTATTTCGCGCAACGGCATCACGTTTTCTCGGCCCTCTAACACAGCAAGGAGGCATTGATGAATGCAAATATACTGTTGCTCAGTTTGCACCATCCAAACGCGTTCTTTACGCATCTCGTACACCATCCCGAATATGTCCACGTAGTCTTCTTTCTTTATGTGGAACAGCAGTCTGTCCAGTGCTATGAATGTCCCGCTTCTTCCGACTCCAGCACTGTAGTAAAAATGTTAAATAGAAAGAATTAATTTCCGCAAGTACGTGTCTTAGTTTTCAGCCAAGGGCATAAGATTCAAGTGTCATACCGGCGGTTTTCAGGCACTGGTGGTTTTTTTTTAAACCAGGAAGTTAATTATTACCCCATTAATACGAACATCACTTTCGATGTGCACCAAGGATATGGGAGCTAAAAGGTACTGGTATGAATTTCAAGAACAAATTTTCAACATCAAAGCCAGTGCAAAATTAAATACACCCGTTTCAATCTTTTGTATGCAAAAAATTGAAAACTTCTGATTTCAGAATACTGTACTGTACAATATTCCTGCTCATAGAATTATTGCAGGCTGACTTGTGCATATGCATATTTGTTCAATGTTTCGTTAGTTACACTAAAGAGACCTTTTGTACAATGTAGATGTCACTTCAATGTACTATATTTACTGTATTTACTTGAGAACCACGCGTAAGGCGCGCACAGGGGTTTTTCAGTTGGAAATTTGGCTAAAATCTTATCCCTGAGTAAGATGCGCACCACAATCTTTAGTGAATCTAAAACCACAAAATTTCAAAAATAAGAACAAAAAATTGACTTTAGACATGTATTGAACAAAAATCTGATCAATTTTCAACTTTTTCAGTACAAAAAAGTTCTTTTGTTAATTTTTTCCAAATTTCTCCCTCATAATCAAGTATAATGCTCACATAACTTCCTAAAACTTCTTGAAAATTTTGTACCCGCTTATGACGCGCACCCCTTTTTTTCTTCAGAAATTTGAGAAAAAAGGTGGGCATGGTACTCAAGTAAATATGGTACTTGAGCACCACGTGCACCCCTCAAGTAAGATGCGCACAAGGGGGTTTCAGTCTAAAATTTTGATAAAATTGTATCCCAAAATAAGACACAATCCCAATTTTTTGTGACTCACTGCAATCCAATCTTTAAAAGATAGAAATGCCCAAATTCGAATTTGGACATGATTTGAACCTGAATTCAACTGCTTTTCATTTGCTTCCAATAAGTTCCTTCTGTTGAAATTGGTCCAACATTTTTCATTAGAATCAAGTAGTGTAAAACAAGCGTCGCAGTTCTTTTCTCTAAAAATTTTAGAAAAAAATGTGCGCATGGTACTTCAGTAAATACGATATTTGTTCATGCGGAAGAAGTTATTTGTTGACTTAGTCGATTCCAGATGGCGCTGGGTTTCCTCACGTCCCTCCCTTCAGAAACACGAGACGTTAAATGGATAGATTAACAGAAATAATATGTTTCAGCGTTACTTCGAGGGTCAAAAATTCAAATGTAGCGTTTGAAATTGGTCTCTAAGTTGGCGTTACAATTCAGAGAACACTGTACTTTCCTTGGTTTCACCGCACATCACACACAAAAAGTGAAACACGGAGATCTAAGGAAGTAACTTAATATAGCACCAATGTTTTCGACAGCTTCGCAAATAAACACAAAAGCCGCGTAAAATCCAACTGGTGCACATTGGAACCGTCTTCGCATAAATAACAGTCAATCTCGAATAAAAGCCAAGCTGAGCCACAAATATTATTAAAACTAAGAAATTTACTCCTCTCTGCGCCTTTTAATTCATACATTTCTCTTCCCGCGAGATAAAAAAATAAAACATGTAACCTTCTTCACTAAAACATTACTCAATCTCTCAGTAATCGATGCTCTTTTTTAGAGTGTACTTCTGTACGTCTAGCATCACTGGGTGAGTCTTCTATAAACATCTCAATTAACCGTATATTTAGCCGAAATATGTAAATCTCTCTCCCTCTCTCTCACCTGCAATGCACAACGATGGGCTTTTGTTCAGGTCCGACTCTTTCTCTGAACGCCCTGACAAAACGGACCAAAGTTTGCGGCGGTTCAGGGACTCCGAAATCAGGCCACGTCGTGAAGTGATAGTGCCTCATCATCCTCGAGGAATCACCCTGAAAAAAAAAATCCGAATTCATCATGTAAATGGTTTTTAGAACACGTAGAGTTATTAAGACGACATATTTTCTACGCGACGTCTAACAGAAAAAACCGTAATATTTATGCCTCGTCATCCTCTAGGTCTAGAAATCAACGCGAATAAGCATTCATATTCATCAGAAAAAACCTCTTCAAACAAGTACAGGTGGACTCTCTCTTCAACGATCACGTCTAAAACGATTTTCTCCGTAGAACGAATTTTATTTTGGTCCCATAAGATTCTATCCCCATGTTATGGAGGTCCTTTACGACGAATTATTTTCTGGTCGCTTGAATTTCGTTGGAGAGGGAGTCCGTCTGTGCTATCTTGGCGACATCTACAAGGAACAAACTGAACTACTCATTACGCCTCATCATCCTCGAAGAATTGTCTTGGAAAAACTCCGAATTAATCAATCAGTGTGAAGAAAGTACTTCTACTCCGTTCAAAAAGGACCAATTTTCTCGGCGACATCTACAAGAAGCAAACTGAACTATTCATGCCAGTCAGGGAGCGTCAGGCTCAAAAACATGGACAACGTCGTTTCTTTTTTTCGTCCGCAGATGTCGCCGGTGCCCGAATCCAGCGTTTCTTCCGAGGAAAAAATAAACTTACCCTGGTAACCTTGAATTCCCGGATTGTCCAGTCGGGATACTGACTTTCATTCAACACAATGACCTGTATGTCCCCGTAGTAAGCGGGCTGCGTGTCGTAAGGCCAATAATGATCGCACTTTTCTCTCCCTTTCTCGATGCATCTCGTCAACATGACAATCGCCCTGGATCCACTTTCCCAGCAAGCTCTCCAAAAATCGTCTCGTGTCGAATGCAATGGGCCTTGTGTCACAATAAATTCACGAGGAGAATTGTAACCCTGCAAAAAAGGAAACGTAAGTTCGACAAAAGATTTTTCAAATGTACCCGTATTTATTCGAGTAAGACACGCACCCGAAATTTTGATGAAATTCTATCCTCAACTAAGACAGGCACCTTTTAATATTTTAGTGACTAAAAACTATACGACTTCAAAAATAACAGATACCAGAACTTAAATTTCAACACGCTCTCAAGCTGAATTGAATTATTTTCAATTGTTTTCATTTTCGAAAAGTTCCGGTCAAAAATGTTCCATTACATTCAAGTGTGAAGCGCAACTGATATTCTAAAATGTTCGGAAATTTTTATCCTCGCGAATGACTCGCATCTTCTTTTTCCCCTCTCAATTTCGAGACAAAGATGCGCGTGGTACTTGAGTAAATGAGATACAGTACAGTACACTTTTAAAACAAACTTGCTAAGAACGGAGAAAAACAACAATTGATAAACGTTATATCTGATGGATTTCATGTTGTGAGAAACTGTAACACATATTTATTTTTTAAACCTAGAAAATGAAAAAAATTATATTTTCTGGGGTAAAGTGCCTCTAATTATTTTCAGAATTGTTCCTTCACCTGCCTGAGGGCAAGTACAGATTTTGCGAGAGGTCATACACAATAAAATGCTGTACTTTCCTTGGTTTCACCGCATATCACACAGAAACAGTGAAACACGGAGATCTAAGGAAGTAACTTGATATAGCACCTCTCTTGTCGACAGCTTCGCAAAAGAACACATAAGCTGCGCAAAAACCAACTGGTGCACATAAAACCTCTTCAAATAAGCATGAGCAATTCAGAACAACAATAAAATTGGATACAAATCTCGAACAATTTCAAAAAGTGAATAAATTGCGATGAATGATTCCCGAAATGGCTTCCATTTTTTTTTTGTTCAACGCCCGAACTCTTTTTCTTGAATTCTCAAGACAGGTGTCGCCTCCATCACTAATTCGACCATAAGTAATTCAATGTCAGAGGTTAAACAGTAGGCAACCAAACCAAATGCAGTTCTAATTTTTTTAAACCAACTTTGGCAAAAGTAAACGAAGTGATGATCAGGTGACATCTATGAGGAGGAAAAAACGCGAATCGGACACGCGTAATTTGAAGAGGCGGAGAATGTTTCACTTCAAATCTCGCTGGAAGTGATAATTCAGAAAAATTAAATTCGGAAAGCTCTCCCAAGCTTTAAAATGGATAGGAAAAAGCACGGGCGAGGAAGAACTCACGGAAACGTAGTTGGCGTTGATGTAGTCTGTGCCATCTTCGTCATCAGTTGGCTGCAATTTGAACCGCGAATGGTCGTACGGAAGAATATTCGTGAATCGATTCTTCGGACGATTCACGGGCAAATCTGCGGCAGTACACGCCTGATCTCTTCCGATGTGCTTCAGCTCTTCGTATTCCTCGGAAAATCTAAAACACGAGTTACAAAATAAAAGTACTGTAATTTCACTAATTTTCACAAGTTCAAAATTTTCTCCAGACAGTCAAAAACAACACGCTGTACAACCAAACGAAAAACGTAAAAAGGGTTGTTGAAAAAACCCTGATGATCACCAGAAGTACAATCGAAAGAATTCTGAAATACTTCGGTAAGTTCCACAAGTTCGGAAACTATTCGCCTTCTTAAAACCATCACCAGAAAAATGTTTTCCCCATTTTTTTTCCACAATATTGTAATCGAAATATATTAAAATGGTACCTTTCGAATGGTTTGCTACACTATTTTTCAAGAAAAACTCCAGAAAAATCCGGGGTTTTCAAAGTACAGTTTTCCAACGACAGTAATCAAAGCCCATCCGATCCAAATAAATGAACATTTCACTGATATTCTCCAAATAAGTATTTTAAAATACTTTAGAGGAGTACAAGTTCGAAAAATTCGTGTCCTCCAGTTGAATGATCGCACCCCTCGCGAAATCTTCAGCTTAAATCTGAGGATAAAATGTATTTTATGACCTCTAAAAGTTGAGCAAAATATCCTCCACATGCTTAAAAATCAAATTCCGCTCCTCACGAAATACAAATACGGTTATTCCAATCAAGTTTCGAAGCCTTACAACTTTCCTCCAGTCAAGATAAAAATCGGTAATCTTCGAAATAACACCTGACGAGAACTCGATCTCAAAAAACCCACAGCAGAATTTCAACTCGAATGAACAATAATGTACACCACTAATGCAATACAGTACTTGTCATGACCTGTGTAAGTTTAGAAAATATCTTTCACAATAAAAAAAAGAAAATCGAATTACGTTACTCATGGAATAAAAAAATACTGTACGGTAATCCTGATAAAGTTTCGAAATCTCACTAATTTCCTTCAGTCGAGATAAAAAAAAACAGCAATCTTCGGCAGCTTAAAAAAAATACCTGATGAGAACTCGATCTCAAAACCCAAATGCAGAATTTCAACCCGAATGAACAATGATCAATTTTAAAAAGGCAAGATTTTCTACAAAAAAATGATAATTCATTGTCAAGAGGCCAAGAAAAAAAAATCATGAATTAACTACCGGAAATCCGAGTCGGCAGCCATGATGCGATAATGCTCAGCGAAGTCCTTCAAAGGCACAGGACGAGTCGTCACAATAACCGAGTCCGGCAACGACACGGCATCGTCCTTTCCGGAACCCGGGCCTCCCACGACGCCCACTACACCGGCAAGCATTCCACCTCGGTGATGGTGCTTCATGTGATGGTCCCTCGCTGCCAAAAAATGCCGACGATCCCAATGCCGAGCAGAACCAGAGTCAATGGGATGACGACTGCAGCAACGACGCTCGAACTGTCCGGCTCTGCGAAATTATGAAAAAGAAAAAAAGAAAGGTCAATCAGTCGAACCTTTGAAGGTCGTACTTTAAGGCAACAGCGAAAAATTAAAAAAAAAAAAATTATTAGAGTCAAGGAAACGAGCAATGAAAGAAGAATTTCTGGAATTTGTAATTAGGTGATTTTCTAGGCATAGAATTGTTCCATAAATGAGTTGAATGAGGAATGATTACACCACGATTTCCGGTTGTCCGCTTTTTTTCATGCGGTAGAGTAGAACCCAAGCTCTCAGAAAATCTGATCAAAATAATGTCTTGAAAAGATAAGATATAAAAAATTCCAAGGAAAAATAATCCAACTAAATTGACAACAAGAAAAAACGGGAGTACAGTTGAACCTCTCTCCGTCAAACTTGAAGGGACCAGCGAACAAATCCGAGTTAGCGAGGTTTAGGTTAAGGAACCACGCATTTTTGTTGAGGAAAAGAAAAAATAATTACAGGAAATTGTAATTGGTGCTATTCTGGGCGTTAAATTGCTTTTTAAATGAGTTGACATGATACTGAACTCAGAGGCAAGGGTTCATTTGCCCAATCAGTCTTTCACTTCCTTTTCAAACCACATCGATATATTTTTATTACTTTTCTCTTTCCTGCGTCAATAAAGTAACAGCCAGAAGTCTCAAAGAAAATTCGACTTACGGAGGTTTGAGAAGAAAAGCCTTTTCATTAGGGATGTTTTTTAATGCATGATTTCTAAAAAAAAAAAAAAAAAAGGATTTCTGACCAGTGGTGATTGGATGACTCCACGAGGTATCAGCAAATTTGTCTCTGCCCGTGAAAGCCCTGACTTTGATGGAGTAAGACGTGCCGGGCTTCAGAGGACCATTACAATACCTCTTTACTCCGAAACAATTTTCTTCAATGCCAACCACAAAATCTGCGACTTTCGTCCCATTGAAGGGATTGTACGGCTCGTTCACCTGAAATAAAAGAATTTCAATCATTACACAACATTTCCAAAAGAATTTTCCTGAAGCCAGAGTGAAATCATGTCTTCACAAGATAAGATGGAGCTTTTTTTTTCAACTGATCACACGGATTAACATTATACTGATACATAACGGTTGCTTTCAATAAACGCTTTGCGAAGCAAATTTTTCGTAAAACCGACACGGGCTTTCGCCAATTTCTGCTTTACAAAAAAGACTACGAAAATTAATCAAAATTAACTAAAAGAACATCATTTTCAAGCTGATACAAGTTCTTTCTTTTTTTAATTGCGTGTTTTGGCTATTTCTTACCTTGTTTTTCTGTGACAGAAATTGAAGAAAAATACCAAGAACTCGTATCAAGGCATTTGTAATTATTAATCCAGACAACCTGAGACTTTGGTTTCCAGGAGTCTGGAAATGATAAAAATAGAATTGGACTATCTGAAAAATTATATTTCACGGTTTATATAATTTGATCAGACATTTTTGGGATACTTCATCAAATCTTACGCGAAGAGTCGAAGTTGTCCAACTTTCTGTAATACCGTATTCAGAAAAGAATACCAAAACTTCTCGAAAATACGGAGACATTTTTTTGAACATTGAAAAATAGGTTGCTTCCATCATATGAAACAGAATGGCCATTTCAAGCATCATATGACGATTCAGTTCAAAAGTCCGTTCGAAAGTCGAGAACAAATCAAGCGTATTCGACTCGATTCATGCAAAAAGATTTCCACAAGAACGGATCGAAGTCCGTTAACCGAGACATCACTGCAAAAATGCTGGACATATTTTACCTGGTACGGAGGCCAGGCGTTGAAACCCTGCACGTCTTGCCAACGAGGCAATTCATCTCTTCTCGGACCGAGTCCAAGCGCAAGCTCGTCTTTCACCGCTTCTTCCGACACAATGATTGCATACGCAACAACCTGGAATCGTGTAAAATAACCAGTTAAAATAAAACGGAACTAAATGAATTACACGAAATTTAGTTTCTGGTGATTCGGAATATTGTACCTCTCCATTGCTGTTTGAGAAATAATTCTGTCTAAACCGCACTTGAATGGTCGCCGTGCTCCTGGAAACTTCTGTCGGGAAAACTTGGTCCGTCGGCTTAGGAGGAGCTGCATGAAAAAAAAAGTGCACTCGAATAAAATAATAATCGAGAAACACATTCCATTGATTTTTTTAAAACTTGAACACTGTCAATCTAGCATTGATAGCATTTACAGTGGGTTTCAGCATAATAAATCTTACTTGTTCCTCGATGTATTCCGTAACGCACCCTTTTGTAATTCAAAATGTGGCATCACATTGTCAATTTAAATAGTTCCAAACACTCACCGAAAGATCCTAATAAACCATAAAAACTCAGCATAAAACAAATTCAAAGTTTCATCAGTTTTAAATCTAAGTAATTCGATATGTTTTTTTCCTGACTTTCTGAATTTTACAGATTTTAAAAACCTGAAGAAACAAAACTATGCACTTTTCTCATTCTCGTGGAATTTTAAAGGAAATTCCGACGTTCTAGAGCGAATATTGCTTAATTTGAACGTTTTTCAACCCAGAAGTTTCGTCACATGAAAAAATGTCGTAAAATGAGTCACTATTCCCCTGAAGAATTCTGTGATGCGAAATTTTAGTTGTACGGGTTCTTCATAAATACTGCAGCAGTACTATACTTCTATTTTCAAGAACATGTGAACGTAAGTACGTTCAAATTTAGGAAGTCAAAAAACTATGTTCCATTCCAACTAATATTGAATGCGGCAGGGGAAGCTTGAATATTTGAAGAACGAAGTATTTTCTATTTTACAGTGAATTCAGAAGAAATCCCTCCTTAAACATGAATTTTCAAAACTTTAATTTATTTTTATTTTTTAAACAGAGAGATGGATACTTGCCCCAAACAGGCATTCCTTGTTCCCAAATGGCTTCAGATCCGTAACCGATCGAAGTTCTGGCTTGAATTTTGAAAATGTACACGGTTCCGGGTTCCAATTCATAAAGGGTGCCTTGAGTTTCGGTGGCATCAAAATGCTTCTCCTCAAGCACATCCGACGCACTCGTCTATAAAAAAAAAATCCGTCACAATAGCATCCTTTTTTGCTTTACTGGTATGAGAAATTAAATTTTGTTTTGTTTTTGCAAACCTTTCGTTTCTTGCCGTAACGGATTTTGAATCCCTGAAGAACTCCATTCTGTTCTCCACTCGGCAAATCCCATTTGAACGTGATCGTGTTCGGCGTCACGTTGATCGGGTGGAAACTTGTTACCTGGAGAATTTACGAAGTCGTGGAAATCACAGCTTTTCTACTACAATCCATTGCATTTTTTCATCTTTCAAAATCGTTCAATTCTTTTTTATTTTGTAATCGCCCAGCATAATTTATTTCAAGTTGGGTGAGGGTCGAAATTTGTTTCGGGAAATTAAATGCAATAAAATAGATCGTCCATCAAAAAATATAAATTAGTCGGGAAAAACAGCAACAGGCTTATTTTTCAAGAAGTAACGAGCATTTGAATCTTCAAAAATCTGCCGAGCGTCGTTATCCTTGTTTCTCAATACCGACGTTCTCATCTCATGTCAAACATACGATATACGTATTCAAGAATAAATTTCTAAAGCTAATAGAGGACATTGGACGTTTCTAAGAAATCTGGAAAAAATTATCCATTTCGTCAAAAGGCAAGAAAGGGTATAAACACAATAATACATTTTGTACAGGTTTAAGACTCTCAATTGGTGGCCTTTTCGGATAAAAATTTCCACCTTGGCCGTATTAAGTCCAATAACTGACGTTAAAACGCACGAAAATTCCCTCCTCCGCAGAAAAAGGCTCCAAAATTTTAACTTCTATATTTCGGTTGGCATATTGGCTTTCGTGCTTTCACTCACCTTCCCCGGGACAGACTCTTCGGTCGTGAATGTGGCGGAAACCGGCAAAGACTGTTTAAGAAACGTTTTCGTTTGAGTACCGGATAAAACGGTTACGGTGAAAGTGTAATTTTGATGCGGTTTCAGCAGCAGTATGTTGATTTCGTTCGTCGGGGTTTCGTTCCTCAACAACGCACCGTCCGCCAGGTACTGAACCTGAAAAAAAAGGGAAAAACACAGTTTGTTTTTTCTTCGCCTTCTTCCGATCGATTCAAATTTTACAATTTTACTTGTCGTTTCTTCTTTTTCATCCATAATTCAATTTTCGCGGAAGGCAACTTGACTCAAGACGCATCAGTTTCAAAGTTTGATTGAAAATCCTATATACGAGGATTCGTTCACACGTTTTCACACTCATGCACTTCCCACGTAGAAAAGAAACATTTAAACTAAACCGAGTAATGGTTATTTCTTTTGGGAGCACTCTTTCAATTTTGCTTACGAATTTTGAAATACTCGGGACATATTTTTGAGTGTATCGTGATATATACAAGAAATAAGGTTTACCGGCCCTTCCAATATTTTATAAATTCACGAGTAGCCCATGAGCTGCCAAGATTTTTCCACGACTGACGAATACGATACGTAAAAATAACTTCGCAATGAAAAAATATCTAATCTTGGCATTGTTCATTTTTTTATGAAGATACTGCATGAGAAGGTTGGTATAAGGATTACAATGTGAGATTTCAATCCTGACTTCTCGAATTCCAAGATAAATGATAAGCAAAACGCAAAACTACTGCAAAAGAACAAGACCTGTTTTTGCTCCTCAGCGGGTTTAGAAAATTTCGACTCAAAGCTTAAGAGTACTCCAAAAATTGTTAGACAAATAAAAACGTTAGATCATCTCTCGCATTTTTCCCCCTGAAAAATTATCATCGATTACTGTACCTCAAACGCGTCATGATCGCCTTTCGGCGCCGTCCAAGTCAACTTCACGTAGTCATCTGAAACGTCCGTGGCTCGAAGATCTTGAATTGGATCAGGATCTAGAAATATCGAAGGAATAATGTTCCATCTTTAAAAATGTCTCGAGACACTAAGACCGAAGGGATATTAAACGAATGCTGACGAAAAGCATTGTTGGAATGTTGCAAATATTCAAGTTTGCCTCATGGACATACACGAAGATAAAAGAACTAAAAACAATTTCTCAAGTACAGTAATTTCAATTTGAATCTCCCTCATTCCTGCCGAAATTTGTCGTTGACGAGAATCAAAGAAGACTATCTGAACTCAAGTAACACTTCATCAGGTGATCAGCATCCTGGTTGAATTCCATTCCGGGTTTTCCTGTCCTACTACACAGATGTCACTGGAAGTCTTGAAATACTGTATTTCTTCGGATCAAAATTGAACCAACTCAATATTAGGTCAACTGATTCCCAGGAGTTCTTGAAAAATAAAAAATAAAGACAGTGCTTTGATTTCGACTGAAAAATAAAGAAAACATACGTTAGGCATGAATTATACTTAGCTGCCTTGGGTTAGTTCACTTACACTGAGATAGTTTATTGCGGTGACACAATTGTCGACATCATGGAAATCAAGGTAAGGAATCGGTAAGAAAATTATCGTATACCAAACTTGTATCTCACGAGAAGTACCGCTTCGAAATTAAATACTGTACTGTAATTCCCAAAATAACGCGTCTTGAATAAAAAACGTATGTAAAATGGTTATTAAACGAAAAAAGAAAAAGATTGAAGCCACAGGATTCTTACATTGCCTGCTTTGCTTGACCAAAGGTTTGGAGCTGATGCCATCTGCTTCGGTCCAGCACGTGACATTGTAAAGTCGACCAGGAACAAGGTCGGTCCAAACAATTTTTCTGTCCGGGTCTTCCCGGTTCTTCTCTCTCGATGAACGTTCGTCTTCAGACAGCTGGAACCTGTTTCACAAGGCAATATAAGCTCTTTACAACCTCATCCACATGACATCCCCCGCATCTTCGCAATTCCAAAAAAAAAAAAAAAAAAAAAACTTCCGACAAGAAAAAAANATAACCGATGCGTTCATCTTTGCCAGGAATGATTTGCAAAATGCATCTCTCCGTGGCAGAAAAGAATGAAAACTAAAAACTGTAGAGCTGAACTGATTTTTGCGACATGAATTTTTAATTTTTACTCAATCATTTTACCCGAGCTTATGTGGTAAAAGAAAGGAAAATTAATTGAACCTTACACAACACTGCAGTTAAAGACGTAGCATTGATCACAATCCTCGCGAACATCAAGCGAACATTCATAATCAAGCAATTAGTATCAAGCCAGGGAAAAAGTCAATGAACTTTGTAGATGCTCCACCCCCACAAAAAAATGTAATATTCCCACAACTCACGCATTCCGAGACTTCCGCGATGCACATTCCATGTTCTCCCAGAAAGAGTAGATCTTTTTTTTTAAAGAGGCACAAGGAGGAGAGAAAACGAAAGCAACCCGCTTTGAGAGCATACCCACACACACACACACACCAGAAACACGCAGATAGGAACCGCAAACGACTCGCTTTTCGTCACGGTTCAACAATTTCAGACAGAAGTAAACCCAGTCATGCACAATACCGGCCCCGTGCGAGTTAGAATCTGAAAACCAAATCTTGACAAGATATAATCATGACGTTCAAGAAAATCTAAAAAAAAGAATTCCCTTAATTTTTCAAATTTGCTGGATTCTCTGGCTGAGAAATGCAAACTTTTCGTGGATAATTAACCAACAATTACAGTACTAATCTTGACAGAATATACTTCCGAGCTTTATTTTTCCCAATTTGCTGGATTCTGTCGTTGAGAACTGCAAACCTTTCCTGAAGAAGAGCTCTTATTTATCCATCACGTACTAATCTCAACAAAATATACTTCCAAAGATTTTAAAAATCCCGGTTACTTTTTCTTTTAATTCACTAGATTCTCTCGTCGAGAAATGCAAACCTTGTTCGAAGAATAGCTGTTTACCTGTACCCCGGATACCAAGCATTCAAAATTACGTAGAACTCGTTTCTGAATAAGAAAATTTGCAAAACATCAAGAAAAAAACATGCAAATGAGCAGCTTTAAGCCACTGTATAATCTCGAAGATTGATCCCATCATTCATTATTATATTAAAACCTTTGTTGAAATAGGGAAGAAGACTTTTATTCCACATTTTATTGATGGAAACACATCCAAAAAGTTCTTCATATACAGTAATTTAGAAAAAACCCACCACGTTGGATTAGCTATGTAATGTTACATAAATTGCTCCCAAAAAAAAATAAATTTTTCGATTTTTCACTCACCGATACATTTCCAAAACTGAAACTGCGGATGGTGTCGGTGTGTAGCGCAAAGTCAATGATTTCGTGTCGTCCTGACTCGTCACCAAGTAAATTTCCGAAGATATCAGCGGCACTGAAAATAATTGAATGATTCATAAAATATCGAAAACAAATTAAACCACCATGAACCGCAATTTTAAATGGTGGACTGGGAATTTAGTAAAAATGACAGATTTACTCTCGTAAGTTGTATTTGAACGAACAGAAAATTCTCCGATTCAATCGTCACATCACGAAAAAAAACTAAGCAATACCAAATTTTCGACACGTGAAGGTCAGATCAGATCTTGAATATTCAATTTTTAATGTTCTGTCGGTGTCATTTTATTTTTACTACTTCTTCAAAAAGAAAAATCGATGATCTCCAAAAAAAAAACGTCACAGACGAAAGGAAAGCGACACCATGGTTATGGTTACCTTGAGATATTCCCTTCGTTATCCTTATAAAAATCGAATTAAGCTTTCCCCAAATATGTCCCTTCCGCATACTTTTTGCCGCGCTCCATAAACCATGTCACTCATAAAAAAAAGTAAATGGCGACCGCGCGAAGGAATGACGCATTCCTAACTTACTAGTTCTCGTGGTGACTGACACTTTCGTGGACGTTTTTCCATGCGAAGTCGCCGAGAAAGTGAACCTGAAACAAAGATTTTAAAAAAGGCATAACATATTATTACATACGCAAATTCAAGTTCAGCAAGTTGAAAGATAAATAAAGATAATTTAAAATGCACATTGTTATCAGACACATTCACAAAAATCTGAGGCGCTGATGGGACCATTTCTTCCCGACACTCAAGTTGGGAAAGACTTCATTTTCATCTTTTTCTTCCATAATTCAGGAGTGTGAGA